AGTGGCTTTGTTATTCCCTTTTAGACATACACGAAATTGTTCTCATTCCCCCTGCTGTAAAAGATACTTCAAATTGGGACTCGGTTCACAAGTGCAATGCAATTTGGCTTAGCTCAACCTTTGTTCTGCTTGTACAAATGACCAAACAGTGCACACATTATACAGTTGATCTACTGCTCCCTTTACACCAGAGTTAGCGGCTGGGAGAAAAGCAAGTTAATCCCTTCAATACTAAGGTGGCATTTTCAATATTTCCTACAATGCGAGAAGGAGAAGAGAGGGCAGCTTGAAATGCGACATTTGTTTAAAAGGGAAGATTAAAAAGAAAAAGTTTGCGAGGCCTCCCCTGTTACTTCTCCAAATAAATAAATAAACAAACCAACAAGTCCCAAACGTGTAGATAAATACTCCAGCGCCTCCGGGAAGGCAAGGGAAGTTTACCACAAAGACAGGCTCTCAGGGCAGTAACGTCGAGACTCGAGCTGGAATTCGCGCCAACAGCGCAGTACTTAACACAGCGCTGGGGACTCACCGCTGCTGCGGGGCCCGAGCCCGCGGCCCGGGCACACCTGTATGGCCCTGAGTAAACCCGCACGGCCCGGGCACACCTGAGCAGCCCGGGCACACCTGAGCGGCCCCGGGCATACCAGAGCGGCCCTGAGCACACCCGCACAGCCCGGGCACACCTGTATGGCCCGGGCACACCCGCACAGCCCCGCGGAGGTGGGACGGGCGGGGGGCAGGTGCGGGCAGCGCTGTGTGTGCCCAGCCGGAGCTCACGCACTCGGTGTGTCGGCCCCGCGCAGCCCCGGCTCCTCCGAGCCCTCCAGGGAGGTCCCGGGGACGCGGAGGGAGGGGAGGCTGCGGGGCCGCGCTTACCCGCGCGTGGATTGACCGCCGGCGACGGAGGAAAAAGAGCTTTCCCAGGAAACCGGCTTCGGTCAGGAACCGGGTGCTCCGGGCCAGCTCCAGGAGCGATGAGCGGGAGCAGCAGCCTCCTCCCGGGCTTAAGGAATTCGGGTGGTCCCAGCGCGGGCTCTCTTCGCGCTGGGCAGGGGCGAAACGATGGCGCTGGGCCGGGACAGGGGGCCCAGCCGGTGCCCCCCCGGCGGTGGCCCAGCGGGGACAAGTGCCGGGTGCTGGTGGCGCTTGAAATCGCCGACGGGGCAGGCGAGGACAGCGCGAACAGGCAGCCGGCTCTCAGGAGGGTGACAGCGGCGAGGAGCCAGCGGGCGGCACGGCAAGGCAGGGCAAGGCAGGGCAGGACAAGGCAGGGCAGGGGTGGCCGAGCCCAGCGCCGGGAGCCCCGGGCCCCGAGGGGCGCAGCCGGGCCAGGGCCCCCTCGGGCACAAAGCGCACTGTGCATCTCGAGCTATCGGGAATACAGGTTTGGGGAGCAGTTCTCAGTCTAGCCTTGACAAGCAGGGGGAGTTTGTTTAGTGCTTGTTGGGAAAGGAACAAAATCCTTTTGAAAGGGCGCTAAGTAGTTTCACGCCAAAGTGGCAGATTTGGTGAAGAATGTGGGGTGGGACAAAGCCCTGCCGTTCCCAGAGCGGCCGCAGCGCTTCGAGAAACCGCACCGGGAATTCAAGCACACAGAAAAGAAGGAGACCCCAAATCTCTCCACTTCCTTCTCCCTCCTGGCCCCCAAGAAGCAAAGAGAAGCAGAACCATTACTGAAAAAAAAGAGAGCAAGGCTTAGCCGAAACGCAGCCACAACCAGCAGCCTGGAGTTGACTTTCCAAAACGGGGGAAGCTTGCTCAGAGCCTGGCATTGTGTTTTGCAGCCTAGGAAACCCTAAGAAGCTGGTACTTCCCCCCTCCCTTCTCTTTTCTCCCAACTGGTTTGTAAATATTAACAAGGTTGTGAGCTATTCTCTCACACGGAGTGGGTTTTTTCTACCCTTGGAAAACTTCTTGGCTTCCCCCCACAGCCCCTCTCCCACTCCTCCCCTCTGCAAAGCTGCACACCTGCTTGCAGCCACAAGGATTCAAAATCAATATTGTATTTGTCACTTTTCTGTCTCCTTTTCCTCTCTCAACAGACCTGCTTGCCACTGAGGCGAATTGTGGATTTATGGAGGGAAATTAGCATAAATTATTAGCAAATCTGTAAACGTGTGTGGTCTTGCTTGTGGGAACGGGGGCTATTGCAAACCTTCCATGCAGAAAGGTGGTCCATGATGGGCTCCATGCAAGGGCTGAATGGCCCTTGCACGAAATAGATTTCCATTGGGTTTGCACATTGATATAATTGACTTATGTGTATTTTATACAGTTTTCCCAACACTTCCTCTGAGCTCCTTATTTGAATTAGACTTCAGAAAAACGTCTATTTGTTTTGGTGTCCTACACAATGGATTTGGATTCACTTGCACCCTCTCCTCCTCCCTAGTGTTGGCTTTCAAAGTAAAAGGCAAATGCTACAAGTTGCATTTAAATCCTGTACTTCCCAGGTCTATCATCTGTTGTGTGCTTAACACGAGGTGAAACTTTGGGTATCAATTACTGGGATGACTTCGCCTGCCCTACCCCTCCGCTCACACATTCCTCTACAATGGGGAAAAAAAAAAAAAAAAAGAAGGAAAAAAAATCGTGCGCCTTCCAGCCATACCTCGTTCGCACTCGGAGCAGCAAATGACAACGGAAGTCGACTTTTCTTTAACTTTGCAGCTTGCGGTTCCCTCTTGCACCAGCGGTTGTTTTGTTTTGTTTTCTTTCTTCGGAAAGAAAAGGTACTGGGAAAAAGAAGAAGAAAAGAATTTGTCACTTAGTGAATCTTATTCACTCCCGTGCTGTTTCTGAACCGTCTTTTTGATGGGCATCCCAGGAGTGAACTTGGGCTGAGAAACAAAACTCGAACTGCGGGGTGTTAGGAGTTGGGAACGGGGGGCTGGGATGTGGGAGGGAAGTGTCCCTTACACCCACATATTTGGGGGCTCTCAATACAGAAATAGAAGCCTTCTGCGTGGTGTCCTGGTGACGCTGGGAGGAATCTGTCCTCATTTCAGAGTATCGTCTTTCTTACCCCCTAACAAACAGTCATCATCTCATCACCTCTTACACCCCCAAAAATATTTCTGGAGACTGCCTTCCTGCCCTGCCCGGCTGGACGGAGCATCTCTGAGCCGGTTAAACTGAGCAGGGCAGCTCTCGGGCTCTGAACCACACCAACGCTCCCGGGCCCTCCCCTGACAGGGGCACAGGGTGACATGCGGCAGGTCTCCCTCCAAAAGGGCTCGTTAGCTCGGCAGCGCGGGGCCGCTCGGCTGCTCGGAGTCCTAGGAACACAATTATTTGCTCATTATTCTCTAAACGACATCCTGCCCCGAGAGAGAGGGATTAGATGGGACCGAGGGCAGGCGGGTTGGAAGGAGGGGAGCGCAGTGTAACACACACGAGGTCGGCGCGGTGTGAAATGCGGTTTCCAGACTGCTGCCAGGTTTGAGGGAGCCCCGCTTGCTGGGGACGGTCCCTCCGAGGAGGCTCCCAGGCGCCCGCAGAGCCCGTGTCGCAGCGATCGCGCTGCGGAGCCGCCGCCGCGCTCCCTCCCCCAGCCCGGCTATTTTTGCTGAATTAAGAAGGTGACATTATTCTTCTTTTCAAGTACTTCTGTTAATATTGAAAAACGTGCGCTTGCATTTCAAGAGCGCGCGCTCAGCCTCAGCAGCCATTTCAATATTAATGAAATTGTTTAATCTCCTAAATTCATCGTGTTTAAGTTACGTTTTGGTGAGTTATTGACCGACTCCGAAAATATTGTTAATGGAGTTGATGTGTATTCACCACAAAGGCTCTTCCTCCCAGGGCTTGCAGCTCCCGAGACAATCTTTAATTCTGGCTCTAGGGCGACAGGATGCACCGCAGCCTCGGGAATACACATCATACAAACTTCCCCCCTGTGCCAGGGCAAGCCTGGGACCTTCCGGGCCTCATCCTCCCCCCAGGACACGCGGCTGGCAGCGAGCTGCTCGTCTGGGCTGCGCTTCCAGGATCGGGCCTCGGTTCCCGGGGAGGAGGGAGGCGGTGGAGCAGAGAGAGCCGCAACTCGGGTGCTCCACACCCTGCCTGCTCCTCCACACCCTGCCTGCTCCTCCACACCCTGCCTGCTCCTCCACACCCTGCCTGCTCCTCCACACACGGGTGCGCACCGAGCAGCACACAGGCAAGCGAACAGCCTGAGACACAGCGCGTAAATCCCACAGAAGGCGTCAAACTGAGGATATTTAGCATCATGACCGGTGACAGGGACTGGACAGCCCGGCCCAGCTCCGCGGGACCCCCCAGTCCCGAGGCCGGCCGGGCAGAGGGGCAAGCGGACCCTCCGCGGCCCAGCGAGCAGAACGGCGGCGTGCAGGGAACTCGTTCCCGAGCACACCGGGCTGTGCCACGGCCGGGAGCCCGCTCGCTGGGATTATTTAGGGCGATTCCCACGGCTTTACACCAACAGGTCCGCAGAACCAGTCCTGCATGGGCTGGGGGGGGAGGGTGGAGCGTGGGGGGGAGAGTAACTTCCCGGGGCGGCGGCTACCGAGGAGCCCCGATCTTATCGCTCCTCGAAAGAACCTTCGCTCGGGGAGAGCGGATTTGGCAAAGAGAAAGTCTCTCGTTACGGAGAAAAAGGCTTGCCTTAAGTTAGCCAACAATACAAATCAGATAACAATGCAGAACAAACAGAATACCACAGCCAAGCAATTTCCATGTCAAACATCCCACTGCTCAGTACCTCCATTTGTAAGTGTGAATTGCAGACTAAGCTTCCTGCAAAGTCCACAGAGAGGTTAGTGCATACCTTCCCCCCCACCCCCAGCCACCGGGTACCATCGCACTGCAATTCCGCTGGCGGAGCCTTTTCACCCCTCGCCTTGTCTTCAAATGGAAATGATTCCCATTGGCCCAAGGTGTCCATGTAAATAGGTGTAAATGAAACCAGATTATGCCTTTCTCTCCAGCCCCCTCCTCCCTGATCCCCTCCCCCTGCTCCCAAGGCGATTGTCATATGATAGCAAAGAAGTGGCACATTAATGAAGCGCCTCTACAGGGGTCTTTTCTGCTCATGTCACCACATAAAACTATCAGATGGTTAGAGGAAGGACATGGAGGCAACTACTTAGCTCATCGCGGCTGCAGAGAAGCAAGCAAGCCTCTGCTCCAGTCCAGCTGCCGGTGGTGTAAAAGAAGCTGATTCAACCCGCGGAGGCGAAGGGAGGGGTGTACAAGAGGATTCCCAAAACCGAGCCAGCTCGCTGCCTCCTCAGGACTAAACCGGAGCAGAGTGGCCGCGAAAGGAGCGACAGACACGCCGGAGGAGCGGGGTGGGAAAGAGCCCGGACTCTCAGCTGCGTCCCGGATGCGGACTGTCAACTTCCAGCAACTCTAAGGTGGGCATATGCAGGGGGTAGCACGAAGTGGGAGACGAGGGGAGGGGGGGGGAGGGGATGGGGTCCCCTTCTCCTCCTCGCCGAGACCAGAAGACAGAGCTATCACTAGAGTAACTTTACGGCCGCGGGCTGCAGCGGGAAGGCCAGGCTCAGGGAGGCCGGAGCTGGGAGAGGCACACCGTTTTTCCCCCGCCGGCGGCACAGAGCTCCGGGCTGTTTTCTCCTGCCCCCATCCTTCCATCCCCCGCCCCCATCCCGAGGGCTGAGGTCCATCGTGCCCTTTCCCTGCGTCCTTCTGTGTCCAGCCCGGTCCCAGACCCACCGCCTGCCCCGACTGGGTGTCCGTGCAAATCCTCTCGGAATCACCCCTCTCCCCCCATCCCCGCCCCCTCCCTTGTCGATGCCCCTCTGCAGATCTCCCCGGTCGCCTTGCGAAGATGCCTCGCCCGGGCAGAAACACTTACAGTGATCAGAAGCCTCCCTACTCCTACATCTCGCTGACCGCCATGGCGATCCAGAGCTCCCCGGAGAAGATGCTGCCCCTGAGCGAGATCTACAAGTTCATCATGGACCGCTTCCCCTACTACCGGGAGAACACGCAGCGCTGGCAGAACTCCCTCCGCCACAACCTGTCCTTCAACGACTGCTTCATCAAGATCCCGCGGCGCCCCGACCAGCCGGGCAAGGGCAGCTTCTGGGCGCTGCACCCCAGCTGCGGGGACATGTTCGAGAACGGCAGCTTCCTGCGGCGCCGCAAACGCTTCAAGGTGGTCAAGTCGGACCACCTGGCCCCCAGCAAGCCGGCGGACGCGGCGCAGTACCTGCAGCAGCAGGCGAAGCTGCGGCTCAGCGCCCTCGCGGCCACCGGCACCCACCTGCCCCAGATGTCCACGTACAACCTCGGCGTGTCCCAGCCCTCCAGCTTCAAGCACCCCTTCGCCATCGAAAACATCATCGCCAGAGAGTACAAGATGCCCGGGGGCCTCGCCTTCTCCACGATGCAGCCCATGCCGGCCGCCTACCCCCTCCCCAACCAGTTGACTACGGTGGGCAGCTCCATTGGCACGGGCTGGCCCCACATGTACAGCTCCGGCATGATCGACACCGCCACCCCCATCTCCATGGCCAGCAGCGAGTACGGCGCCTACGGCGTGCCCATCAAGCCGCTGTGCCACGGGGGGCAGACTTTGCCGGCCATCCCCGTCCCCATCAAGCCGACCCCCGCCGCGGTGCCGGCCCTGCCCGCCCTGCCCGCGCCCATCCCCACCATCCTGTCGAACTCGCCGCCCTCCCTCAGCCCCACGTCCTCGCAGACGGCCACCAGCCAGAGCAGCCCGGCCACCCCCAGCGAGACTCTGACCAGCCCCGCGCCCGCCCTGCACTCGGTGGCCGTGCACTGACCCGGGCCGCCCGCGCGGACTCTGCCTTCCCTGTCTCCCAAAGTTTCCTCGGAGCTCTCCTCCCTCCCCGCCTCTCCCTCCCTTCCGCTCCTTTCCTCTCTCCTCTCCGCTCTTTTCCTCGAAAGCAGAGACAACTCCCCGCGGGAAGCTGAGGTTTGCCGTGAGCCCTCCCTCGGGGTTCGGCTTCCCCCCTACTCCTGAACTTTGCTTTCCGTTCTCCCGAGGCGAAAGGACCCGGCCCGGCCCCCTCCCGCCCGGTAGGAACTGCCACTTGCATCGCTAGTTTTCCAAAAGTACTTCAGGCATCTCCGCTGTCCCGGCGGCCAGGCGAGCCTGGCCCGGCGACGCCTCTTTCCTTCCTTTTTACGGGGAAGAGCAGGTTGTATCCAGGACCGGTCTGTAATTCCACAGACAGGGATGGCCGCTGCCTCACTGCACGGGAGCAGCGGCGTTTCCAGCCTCCAAGCAGCCAACGCTCGGATCTTGGAAACGCCGGGAAGTGCTCGTGTCCTTTGTGCGGGTCTCGTTGTTACAAAGGGCAGGATTTCCCGGGGCCAGGCTGCGGGAATCCCCGGGCAGGAGCCCCAGGCAGGGGGTGCGGGGCCGGCGCGGGAACAGGATCCACGCGAGGGAACCGCCGCGGTCCACTCAGCCCACACCTATAATGTTTACAAAGCGCCTGTTCTAATGTAAATACTGAACTTGCATCTGTACTGTACATCAGATGGGGTCCCTTTTGCAGTACCTGTTGTAACGTGGATGTTTACTGTAGTTTTCAGGTGAAAGAGGAGAAGTTGACTCGCCTGTTAACTTCTGATTAACCCGAAGGTTTCGGGGGCTGAGGTTTCCTTTGTTGTTTGTTGGGGTTTTTTGTTGTTGTTATTTTAAAAATTTTGTAGCTATTTATTTCATAGCTTAAAAACAAACAACAACAATAATTATAATAAAAAGAAACCTGTCACCAAGCACATGACCCGACATAGCTTAAAGAAAAGCTGCTGAAGTCACTGATAAAATGTGGAAAAGTAATACAATAGCAGGTACAAACTGTGGAGGTCATCCTGATTTCTGCTGGGGCTTTGCAGACAAGAGAGAGGGGGCTAGGGAAACTGTAAATGTTTGTGCATATGAATGATTATAAAATGTGTAAAATGCACTTTTGTTTGATATACTCCTTTCTAGTTTTAGGTAGTTTGCTGGAAACTGAACTGTTGTTCTGTTGTGAACTGCTTAAGTTAAGAAAAAAAAAAGAACACCCCCTCCAAATGGCATTAGTGTCTATTGAAACTGTAAAGACATTTCTTTTTAACTTTTTTTTTCCTGTACAGAATAAGCATGGCATTTTAAATATTGGTGTTCTTGTTCCCAGCATGTGTGTTTTAAGACAAAGGTTAAAAAGTGTCTACGTTAAATTATGAACCTAGTCGTCCAAATAATATTTTCTCATTAAAATATGTAAATGTAGATTTAGTTTCTTATTTGTCTTTTTAAAGAGTTTACAGGAGAAAAGAAAAAACATTAGTTGATGACAAAGGAATGACGCTATTCCAATATTTAGATAATCTAAACAGCCTTTTCATGCAAGGTTACTATAAATGTAGTTATTTACATACCACCACGTCTCAGACAAAGTTGTCGTTATTGCCGGTTTAGCGAAGGGATAACGCACTGAGTGTGTTCTGTGGGTTTATACATCTGTGCATCTACGCATACACATCTGCATTTGTGCCCTCTGCACTCACACCGAATGCAAACACGAATTACATTTACACCTGCTTGGATGTAACTTATCACCTACGCACTCCCAGTTACATTTTATCTAAAAAGTATAAAAATCAGTCAGCTCCTGCGATAGAGAGCAAACATAAAAACCCTTAAAGAATTAGTTCCTTTTCAAGACTGAGAATACTGAATTTTTGCCAGTAGTGTTTTTTCTTACAAGTGGCATCTCAAAATCTTTTTCGAGTAAAAGTGAGCTATTATAGCCCTGTACCTGTCGTTTAAGCCTCCTCAAGCACAAGTTAGTCCAGCCACTGCTGTAATTTCTCCATCTCTATTGATCAACACTTTCCAAAAACGGTAGGTTGCAAACTGTAACACTTAAAATTGTGCTCGTTTTTCTGTTATTAAATATACAGTCCCTTTTAAAAAGTAAGGGCAACGTAGTTACAATGAAAACTGGATTCCGGGCACACTTTCCAATGGGGTTCTCCAAATCTGTTAGGGATTTTACAAGGATTCTGCGACTGCTGAAGATGACAGAAGCAATCCAGTGAAATTACTAGCGAAGTGTTTCAGAGACGAGGAGGCTGCGAGCACAGTTATGAGACAAGCACACACTGAAGTGCTTCCTAGCAAGAAAACGACATTGTATTCTAATGAACAGACAGGATTCGCGAATTCTACGGCAATGATGTTACAGAGGTTTTGTCTCTGACTGATCTCTCTGAATTTCTGGACCACAAACACAGTAAGTGACATCCTCATTTACTTATTACAA